GCAAGCCTGCCCCGCCCCCTCCCTGCTGGCTCCTCCCCTCTTAGCTCCCCCCACCCCTCCCTCCCATGGAGGAAGCTATCAGTAAGCCCAGGTCTGGGCCCCAGGCACTGGCCTTGCCCTTGGCACCCACACATCCAGGGCCTGCCAGACCTCGCTGTAACAGGACTGTCACTATCGCAGTGACCCACGACAAGATTAGCCAGCCACAGCCAGGCCAGCAGGAGGTCCCACACCCTGCCACTCATGGTACAACTCCCTTCCCCAACCACCCGGACAGATATTACTACCCTGGCTGCACAGTGACAAAAACTGAGCCAGAGCACCCCCCCCCCACACACACACACACACACTCTGCTCAGCGGGACCGTCCACCCCACCCCTCCACCCTTGCACGATCCTGTGCAGGATCCTGCGAATCCCTCCCATTGCATCTGGTTCGGGGAGGCAGTGCAGAGTCCCGGGAAGCGTCCCTTCCCACAGTATCAGAGCGCCCCCTGCCCCCTGCCCGGTGGATGCACAGGCGGCCCTCGCTGGTCAAGTCGGCCACAGGGCTCTTTAAGTCACTATTCTTATTCTTATTCTCCAGCTGCTCGGGAGCCCGCCGCTCTGCAGTGAACAAGAGGGGTCCAGAGGGGTGCAGCGAACGGTGTCTGGGCTCCGAGAGGAGAAAGCGATGCGCAGACCCCCACAAGCCAGAAAGCCCTCCGGACACGTGTAGGGGACCTGGGACAACAGCGCCCGTCTCTGCGGGGGGCGGCCGTGGGTGCTTTGTTTCTACAATTTCGAACTTCCTACAAGAAACATGTATAATAATAATAAAACAACTTCTACAAAAGGACACTGCATTCCGCGCTCGCGAGGCCTTGAACCTCCTGCACCGACCTGCTCTGCGCCGCGGGGACTCAGAGGTCGCAGGAGCAGGCTCCGCCCCCGCCGCCCCAGGCCCCGCCCCAGGCCCCGCCCCGGCCCGGCTTTCTGAGCCCCCCGCCCCCAGCGCACGCGCCCCGCGCGGCTCCGAGGTCGGCGCCCCGGGGAGCAAAACTATGCGGACAGCGCCCCCTACCGTCTGTAGGCACCTTGGGCCCAGGCCCCGTGAGTGGCTCTGGCCAAGCTCGGCTCCTGATTTTGAGGGGTCCAGAGGCAGCTCGTCACAGCCCTATCCTCTACCCACAGCCCGAAGCCCCTTCTCCGCAGAAATGGGACTTCCCGTTATGATGGGAAGAGATAGGATTCGGTAGGCAGAGAGGTAAAGGATAGGACCTGGGCTCCCTCAGTTTGGACAAACATATTCTGGAACACTGTTGGGAGCACCTGACCACAGCAAACTCCCTTATTATGCAAGCTTCCTCTTAGAATGTAACACCATCTACTGCCCCTCAGGAATTTGATAAAACACCTACCTAAAAAAACCTAAGTAAAAATAAGTAGTAAACCATGAAACACAGGACCCACAAGGAATGAAACGGCCACAGAGCACTCCTCCTATAATGGAATCGAGACAATCAGGAATGGACAACCCACACAGAGAGTTATCAAGACCATGAATCAGGACAGGACCTGAGAAGGAAGGGGGCGGGGGGAGGAAAGGAGGCTACGGGCCAGAACCTTATTAAACAAGGACCCTGGCCTCTAGTCCACCGGCCTTCACTTTCAAATGTCCCCGCTCTGTAAAGAGAACTTTCCTTCTGTTCTTCCTTTCTGATCTGAGATCTAATCAACTCTTGCCTGCTGCTCATTTTGTATCCACCTCTTCATTCTTCAAAGCGGCGAGACAACGAATCCGGGTATTGAGGCAAAAAATCCTGCAAGAAAAAATCCAAGAAGCTGACTTAGAGGAATAACTAAGTCACAAGAGAATCCGGGTATTGAGGCAAAAAATCCTGCAAAAAAAAAATCCAAGAGGCTGACTTAGAGGAATAACTAAGTCACAAGAGAATCGAAAAATCCCAGACAGGAAATGGGAGCCTCACAACCCTCAGTGGCCGTTTTCTGGCAGTCCTTGTTTGAAGCCTTCTGTGGGGTGGGGTGGGTCTAAGCGCCCCCCTCCCCTGTGGGCTCAGGAGGTGTGCTGAGAGCCCAGTAGCTGGGGGCTCAGGCTCACCCAAGTCGCTCCTGGGTCTCCCCTCTAGGGACCAACTCAGGCTGGCTTTAAAAATACTGACTTGGAGGTACTTGGGTGGCTCAGTTGGCTAAGCACCCGACTCTTGATTTCGGCTTGGGTCATGAGCTCACCTTTCCTGAATTCAAGCCCCACATTGGGCTCTGGACTGACAGTGCAGAGCCTGCTTCGGATCCTCTCTCTCCCTCTTTATCTGTGCCGCTCCTGCTTGTGCTCTCTCAAATAAACTTAAGAGGTGCCTAGGTGGCTCAGTAGGTTGGGCATCCGACTTTGGCTCAGGTCACGATCTCATGGTGCATGGGTTTGAGCCCCACGTCGGGTTCTGTGCTGACAGCTCAGAGCCTGGGGCCTGCTTTGGATTCTATGTCTCCTTTTTCTGACCCTCCCCTGCTCACGCTGTCTCTCTCAGAAATAAAGAAAACATTAAAAATTTCTTAAAATAAAAAAAAAATAATTGAAAAAAAACTGGCTTCATTCAATCCCTCATTGCATGCGGGACAGACAGACAGTGACTGGCCAAAGGCCACAGAGGGAAGAGCAGAGCAGACAGCACACCCCCACCCCTTCCCTTGTCCCACAGTTCGGGGAAACCAGGAGGCTGTCCCCAGTCTCTGGTCCCAGGCCTGCCACACCGGCTGTGTGCGCCCTTCCACGGCTCTGCAATTCCTGGGGCAGATGCAGACCCTCACCCAGCTTCCAGCAACCGGGACCCCTGGCCAAGGCTGCAGTTCTGTATGTTGTTTGCAGACTTCTTTTTCAATCACCCCCAGGCATGGTGACTTCCAGGTCGTTAATGACAGGGCTGGCACTCAGGAGCCACTATGCTAAAGTGCTTTGTGGTAAAAGGGAAGGTGGACGAGATTGGGGGCTGGTTAATCTTACTAGCTCGCATCTTTTTCACTTTCCATTGACCCCACCGGCCCAGGGGAAGGCCACCAAGGTCAGAGGCACCCAGGCCCTCCGGGGCCCGTACACTCAGACACCAGAGCCGTACATAGTCCTGCTGAACAGGCTGCCCCCACCTATCTTCAGACACCATCTGCTCTGCACTTGATATTGTGATGCAAATTAACGAGCCATAGTAGCTCAGATATTTCATTAACGATTTGCTGGGACTGCGGGACTGGACCGGTGCTGACCGGGGAGTAGGGGGAAAAGATCTCATTTGCAAGTTAATCAAAATAAAGGCTGAGAGCTAATAAAATTCCTCGGAGCCATTATACGTGCAGGAAACAGTGGAGTCCTGAAAATAGATTTTAAAGAGTTTTTCCTAAGTGCACTAAATGGCATTTTTGTATATATTACTCATTTGAATGGCTCCTGCTGGTGTTTTTAAGAATCCATCTGGCAAGTTAGACACAAATTTAAATGCTCTGATGCACACTCGGGACGTTCCACCACTCACTCCTTAGACAAGTGGAGGCACTCTGTCCCCCAACCCCTGAGTCTCTGGGGCCCCTGGGACTACTCCTTCCCTCCCCACACAAGCCTGCCCAGCCCACCCAGGGCTCCAGGCCTCCACCAATTATTTTAAATAATGTTAGGCAAGTGTCTTTGCCCCAAGACTTAGATTTCTCATCTGTGAAATGGGAATGATTGTACCTGGTGCAAAACACATTTGTATTAATGCTTGACACATACTGTTTCATAAAGGCTATCTCTTAGGGGCACCTGGGTGGATCAGTCGGTTAAGCATCTGACTTCGGCTCAGGTCATGATCTCACCGTGTGTGAGTTCGAGCCCCACATCGGGCTTTGTGCTGACTGCTCAGAGCCTGGAGCCTGCTTCAGATTCTGTGTCTCCCTCTTGTTCTCTGCCCTTCCCCAACACATGCTCTGTCCCTCTCCATCTCTCAAAAGTGAATAAACGTTAAAAAAATAAAAATGAATAAATGCTATCTCTTTGAAGCACTGCCTCTCCTCTGGGGCTATCCAAGTGGTACTCACTAGGTATTCTTCTTTTTAATTTTTTTAAATGTTTTTTTATTTATTTCTGAGAGAGAGAGAGAGAGACAGTGTGAGCAGGGGAGGGTCAGAGAGAGAGGGAGACACAGAATCTGAAACAGGCTCTAGGCTCTGAGCTAGCTGTCTGCACAGAGCCCGACGCGGGGCTCGAACCCACTAATCGTGAGATCATGACCTGAGCCGAAGTCGGACACTTAACCGACTGAGCCACCCAGGTGCCCCTATTTTTCAAGTAAATGTACGGACTAAAAAGCCCCATGAAGCCCCCCTTTCACCAGTGACCCCGGTGCAATCCTGTGCCTGCCAGGGCACATTGAGTGAATGACATCTACATTCGAACTCAATACCCACCACACGTCTCCATTCAATACCCACTTTGCAAAGGCTGCACGGTAGGAGACCCCAGGGGAGGGGAGGGGCTCAAACCCAGAACCGTAAGATCATGACCTGAGGCGAAGTTGGACCTTTAACCGACTGAGCCACCCAGGGGTCCCCCCTCAAAAAATTTTTTTAAATAAAAGTTCATCCCCAGGGTGCCTGGCTGGCTCAGTTGGTAGACTGTGTGACTCACTATCTTGGGGTTGCAGGTTCAACCCCCATCGGGTTAGAGATTACTTAAAAATAAAATCTTTAAAATAATGAAAATAAAAGTTTATTTCCTTTGACCCAGCAACTCACTTCTAGAGACCTACTCCAAAAACACAGCCTGTATCAACATAAAGCCATCACAACAAGCTTTGTTTAAAGAGTGAAAAATTGTAACAACCCAAGTGTTCGCCAATATGAAATTATAACATATCCACATATGAATCATCACAGAATGAGATACACTTATAATTATGGACATACAAAAGCATCCAAAATACTATGTTCGAGGGGGAAAAAAAGAAAGAAAACAAAGTTCTGTAATACATTGCTTAATAAAGATCCTTTAATAAAAATGGTAAATACCAGCACATAAGCACAGGAAAAGCAATTATTTTGAAAGAGGAAAAAGGAGTATAACAAAAGACCTTCTTTTAATAATTTCTAAATGATTCTAGATATCGCCCAAGAAGCTGAAATGCTCTTAGAAAATACATGAAATAAAGCAAGAATGTTCTCGAGGAGCTTAACGCGTCAGGTCGTGAGGACCAGAACTGCGGTAACAGCACCCTGATCCCACTACGGACACTTTAAATATAAGCTGTAGAAATCTTTTTTTTTAATCTGAAGAAAAACTGAAAATAAATCTTTTTTCTTTTTTTTTTTTTTTTACAAATTATATCACTTAAATCATAATTTGGGAATGTTAAACATTAATTCTCAGTTAAAAGTGACATTCACAGGGTACATCTTGGTGTTGGCCAACATGAAGTTTCCTTAAATCCAGTATTTTACATAAGCTTAACCATTAAACCTTCCCAAGACTCAAGGATTATAATTTAACTTTTTAAGGTTAAGCAAGGCTTCCATTTAATACCCCAGATAGCTTTTGCAAATACAAAACATTTGTATCAGTAAGGAAATCATAAAAACATATAAATTATACTGAAGGGCTTGATTAAAAGGCTCTCTATATACAAGTAGATGCATTTTGCCTTCGAAAGCACACGCACACACAAACTCAATCGAATACAGATGCCATTACATTCTCTTAGTCATGTTACAGGACAAACTGCATGTTTATAAATGTCATCCTATTATGCATGAACTGAAAAAAAAACGTATGAAAAAAAAGTCCTTGAAGCCACCGGGGAGTGGAACGTGCCTGCGTGAAGCACGTAGACACGACAGTACTTGTACGGCTGCCGTCTCCGGCTGGCTCCGGGCAGCACTGGGAACGGTCACCGACCTCAGAAAGACAGGATGGTCTTGTTGATGATTTCCACGGACTCTTGAATTTCATCCTCCTTGATCACAAGCGGGGGTGCAAACCTGATGATGTCGCCATGGGTTGGCTTGGCCAAAAGTCCGTTATCCCGAAGCCGCAGACACACCTTCCAAGCATCATAATCTAAAGAGAAATGGCCAAACAGGCATGCTGATCAAAGACGGATGTTTAACACTCCCTTGTGAGATGGATGGATGCTTAGCATGTCGCCGCGCAGGGCCCGCTAACGAAAGATGGCATGGAGTCGCAAGCTTGCTTTGCTCTTTTTTTAAAGATGAAGTTATTTCTCAGCAAGTACATTACTAGGTTTGAATAGTATGATTAGACACACCGGTTTTGCGGGTTTTTCAAAATGAAAAAGACCAAGCAAAAAAAATTCTGTGCTAAAGGCTGTTATATTATGAGGAACCAATGCAAAAAGAATGTGGGTAGGACGTGGGGAAGTTAAGTGGCACGGAACAAACAATATCCAAATCCCAGTGACGGCCACACATTCTGCAATCGGATGTGCTTCCAGAGCCCAGGGAAGGAAGGGGACTCTCATCACGTTATGGTAGGATGCGCAAGCCCGGCCGCGCATCAGAATCACGGAAAGGGCACTTCCAACGCCTGGGCGCCACCCAGACCCATCAGATCAGAATCTCTGGCGAGAGGCGAGTTTGGCTTCATTCTTTAAAAAGCTCCTCAGGTAATTCTAAAGTGTTGCCGTGGCTGGAATCACTGCTTTAGAAGGAAGGTGAGCACAGGAGACTCGGGCAAGGAGCCTCAGAGGGCTATTGCCAATCAGATGCCACACACTCGGTTAGGTGGCCGTGGGGGCTATTTTGATCACCATCGTCATTGTCATGATTACACTGCTGCTCCCCCTACCTTTAGTGAAGCACAACGTATGGGGGCAGGGCGGGAGAATAGCAAAGAGGAAACCTTCCAGGAAAGTGCTCGGTGTAGACTAACAGAAAGGAGCTGGAAATCTCCAAGTACTGCAAAACTAACCCAAGGCATGGGCTACCTGGGCGGCTCAGTTGGCAAAGCTTCCGACTTCAGCTCAGGTCATGATCTCAGGGTTCGTGAGTTCAAGCCCTAAGTCGGGCTGTGTGCTGACAGCTCAGAGCCTGGAGCTGCTTCAAGGATTCTGTGTCCCTCTCTCTCTGGCCCTCCCCCATTCATACTCTGTCTCTCTCTCTCTCAAAAATAAACAAAATTAAAAAAAAAAACTAACCCAAGGCAGAATAGCAAATGACGTAAGGGAACAAAAACAGGTCAAAGTAGTAAATTCCTTCCTGTAGGAAAGGGCTCTAATTCCACAGCCTGTAGCATAAATCAGCCGATACAAAGCCTAACAGACCCGGTCCACAAGCTCAAACAGGGGAGGCCAGCAACCAGACAAAATACCACGTGTTTTCTTTCTCCTATGAATATCACATCTTGAGGAAAATGTTTGAGTCCATACCTTTGGTTTCTCGAATGACAATAGCATTCAGTAATCCTTTGCCCCTGACAGCGGTTACAATGTCAGACGGCAGCTTCATCAGCTCGTTCCTCAGGATGATACCCATTTTTTCTGCATTTTCAGCAAGGTTTTCTTCTTCCAAAACCTGCGTTTGAAGGGAAATTACTACCCACATGTTAAGATTACCCTCTTTTATGTTGTTCTTTAGACGAGAACATGGACTATAAGCAAAGGAAGACAATGACCAGAGTAACTTAACTTTCATTTCTATTTTCCAAAGCCTATACCAGTTTACTATCTAATTAAACATTTACAAGCTCAGATAGAGCCTCACCTTTGTCATGAATCCATGACTCTGATTTTAAGGCAAAGTAAGAATTAAAATTTATGTAATGCAACTGACCGATATCTTTTCTGCTTAGTTGACTAAATCAACGGACAAAGCATACTTTAATTTGTAACCTACAGTGTTTCCTTTTCTTTTTTGCCTAAAAAGTGCGTTCTTAGGGATCACGTAATTTTATGCCTGTAGTGGGCACCCAAGGAAGACATCTGAAAGCGGTCAAATCTACAGTCAGTCAACCCATCAATCAACGCCTCGCAGGCAAGGCCTGGTTGGAGGGCGAGAGCTCTGTGAGCCACCCAGGGCCCACGGGCCCAAAGCCCCAGTGACTGCAACTCAGAAGCCCACAGAGGCCCCCCGTCTACTAGACGCAGGGTGAACTACCGAGCACCCTGCCCCTAAGATCCTCCCTCTGCACTGCATGTTCTACAACACTGTCTCATTACACCAACGGGCCCCTCCAACACTGTCTCCACCGACGGACACCCCATGCCCAGATCAGCCCTACCTCCAGGGCCGCGATGGCCACGCGGCAGCCCAGCGGATTGCCCCCGTAGGTTGACCCGTGCTCCCCGGGTTTAATGGTCAGCATCACCTCGTCATCACACAACACCGCCGACACCTGAGAGACAGAGAATTCAGTACTGAGCAAATCATTTCTCGGACTAACTATCCCACTCTTAGCACAGCAGGAACACGAGTGTTTATGAAGCAGATATGAAAGTGGACAGAAGGCTTCCCCTAACAGGAGCTATACTTCTTTCCTCCTAACTAGCGGTGACAAAGTGTCAATACCTTAAACACAGCAAGCGCGCGCCAGGGCGCTGTGATGGCGCAGAACAAGGGCATTTGGGAACCACGAGGAAAGCGGTTTCTGCAACAATATGATTTAGAATTCTTTCCACTTTCAAGGTAAAATGCTTGGTTCAATTGCTTAAAAAACACAATGTTCTGCACTATGTTCAGAACCCTTTACCCTTAATCCAGTACCAATTACCGGCTCTGAATGGCAAACCCAAGGACAAAACCATAACAAAACATTCATTTTTTCCAACCTCTACGTTAATCAGTCATGATTTTAGACAATTAGTAAGGCTAGATTTCTCAACAATGGGAAAAAAAAACCCTAGGGGTCTCCAGGAGAACTTTTGGGGTAAAATGTTTCCATCGAAAGAAAGACCGTAGCAAATTCCTAGGCACACTCAATTCTGCAGCGGAACTTAACTAAGTGGGTCAACCCTGTGGGACCCAGAACTGTTTTTATTACATGTGCTGGTGACCCAGAGCACACGGAGTGCAACCGAACCAAGGGAAAGTCACTATTGTCACCACCAACTGATGTAAAAATATCTTAAGGACAGATTTCATGAGAGTAAGGAATAGGAAGAGAGATGGAACACACAACTTACAGGGTATAAGCCGCCTGAAAGCGCCTTTCCAAGAAGGACTATATCAGGTCTGACATTGTCATGATCGACAGCCAGCCACCTACCAGTTCTGGCCAATCCTGTCTGTATTTCATCAGCAATAAACAGAACCTATTGGAAAACAACGTAATACATTAATTATCGATTTTGTTTCCATAGGGAAGATAGTGATCTCCTACCTTTCCCCACACAAATGATTTCAATACCATCCTGTGAAAATCCTGTAGACAAGCAATCATCTCCTGTGTCAGGCTACTCTCCCCAAGGGCCCGTTCTGCTGCACAGTAGAAAGTGAGCACTTTGGGGCGGAGGGGGACAGAACTATTCTCTGGGAAAAAAATTAATTCAGTTGCATCTTCCAAACATTTATTTAATATTTCCTCCCTAAATCTGTACCAGCGTGGCGGGAAGAGGAAGAGAGGGACACAACAGAGGGTCCGGGGAGAGCACAGCACAGGCCACCAGCGTGAAGAGAAGGAACCACAGTTGGGGCCAGGAAGTCTGCGGCTCTGCCTGGGCCCCGGCTTGGCCAGTGGCCAGAGGCAGTAAACAGTCAGCTTCCGGGCAGGCCGCTGAGAGGGAGCACCAGAGGGCCTCAGAATGAGGTCCCCCCACCCCAGCCGTGGAAGTGGGATGTCATCTTTGCTTCTCCCCTAAGAGCCCAGCCCTGAGCGACGCAGGCAGGTGCAGGGTGCACAACCTGATGCCGGGTGCAGAGCTCTCGCACGCCCATCATGTAGCCGGGATCCGGAACGACAACGCCCGCCTCTCCCTGAATTGGTTCTACCATGAACGCGGCAACGTTTGGATCCTGAAGAACACGCTACAGAAGAATAAGAATGCGCTTTAGTAACTTCCTTTTTAACCTATTTAGAAATCGGAAAACATGGGCTGTGTGTATTTTCATGGTAAGTATGCAAATTAAGTTTTTACATTAACTTATATCCTGACTTCAAAGTATTAACATTTCTGACATTCAATTACTGAGAGCCCCAAATACTTAAGCTTTAAGCTACTCTATCCTTTATTTTCTAATACGGAGTTAAATGTACTATAAAAACGAAGACATTCGCTTTTATAGTAATTTCAGTGAATTAGTTTTAAAGTTTAAAGACATTAGTTTTAAATATTTCAGTGAATCTTTGTATTTTACAAGTTATCTACTCATAATTTTATTTACTTTTTAAGATTTTATTTTTAAGCAATCTGTACACCCAACGCAGGGCTCAAACTCACAGCCCCGAGGATCAAGACTGCGTGCTCTGCCCACAAAGCCAGCCAGGCGCCCCTCCACTCATAATTTGTGGCAGCTGGCTGAAAACTGAGTAATCTTATCTAATGAAGTAGTTAAACACATACTATCCAAGTTATTTACACAGGACACAGATAGCAGTTAGCTGGCTCTCAGGATTAGACCTGGGCACCCAACTTCCCCACGTTGGAAACAAACCGACCATTACAGAGACAAGTGTGGAACCTGGACCCAACTTAAGTTAGATGTTCACGGCAGCCACATATCTATGTTTGATTCACACATCCAACAAATGTAATTTCTATTTGCTCTGTGCTGAAGCACCATGCTTCTAGGGAAGTACCTCAAGAGCAGGCAGATCATTATACGGAATGACTTCAAACCCTGGCATAAATGGTCCAAAACCTTCGTAACTGGTTGGGTCTGTGGAACTGGAGATAGCAGACAGTGTTCTACCCCAGAAGTTCCCAGCTGGAAAGGAGAAATAAACAGAGAGGATTTCAAACAAAATCCCAAATTTAATAAGCACTTTCCCCCCAAAATACCTTAATAAGTTTGATTTTGATTTTTTTTTAAAATGAGGGTTTGCCTTAGAGAGCCTCCGGTGGGTGAGCTTTCATTTGTTAAAATAAAAGCTGATATTGAACACCATGGCTCACATGCCCACCAAGGTCTGGCCTTCAATGACTATTTCAGGCACTCCTCTCCTGAATCGCCAGACTGCAATATACAGACCCTGCGGATAAACGCTTGCCTTTTCTTCCAATAATCCCGAACACTAACAACTGAGGCATTCAATACATGTTTTTCTAGATTCGATGCATGTGTGATAGTGACCGCCCCCTGCTCATGCTGTCTCTCTCTCAGAAATAAATAAAGCATTTAAAAAAAAATCAGATAAGCATGGGGTGCCTGGGTGGCTCAGTCGGTTAACCATCCGACTTTGGCTCAGGTCAAAATCTCATGGTTTGTGGGTTTGAGCCCCACAGTGGGTTCTGTGCTAACAGCTCAGAGCTGGAGCCTGCTTCGGATTCTGTGTCTCCCTCTCTCTCTGTCCCTCCCCAATACACACATGCTCTCTCTCTCTCAAACAAACAAACAAAAAAATCAAAAAAAAAAAAAATCAGATAGCCGGATGAGAAATAAATCATATAGTCACTCATTTTAGGGAGTAAGGAGTAGGAAATTACTTAGCAGAGAAAAATCCCATTTATGTAGAAATACTTGGAAATAATCCCAAAAGAAAAACACTCTCTCAGTTTTTATGAAACATTCAGCAAACAGTGTATCATGGATGAGGCAAACACATGACAAATATTCTATCAGTAAATTAAAACAGCAATACCATTTGTACATTGACATCACAGAGGTTAATGCTGAATCTCACATACCTGCAAAAATCACCTTCGCCTTGTATTTTGGAATACCCTTCACGGTATAGCCCCACCGACGAGCAAGTTTGCAAGCAGTCTCTCCAGCCTCCACTCCTATCAAGAAAAAAATTTTTTCAATTAAAAAAAATATTTTAGATTATCAAAAAGTAGTAAGATTATTTTCTTGGATATTTAATTAAAAAAATAAATTATTTTACCTGTATTCATAGGAAGAACTTTGTGGTAGTTGAAAAGTTTCGTAACATACTCTTCATATTCTCCAAGTACATTATTATAGAAAGCCCTAGATGTTAAGGTCAGTTTGTCTGCTTGACTTTTCAGGGCATTCACAATCTTTGGATGGCAGTGACCTTGGTTGACAGCACTGTAAGCACTCAGGAAGTCAAAATATTTCCTGCCTTCTATATCCCATACGTAAATACCTAAATATATAAAGGGAATTATTTTAGAAAATCACTAAGCTACAGAAAGTTCAAAGATTAAGACCACTGGCAAGCCTTCTGAATACTTATGAACCTCCACTTAATGCAGAATGGTGGTTAGGACAGGGATTAGCTCATGCATAGGAAGCTGGTTATAAATAATCTGGTTTACAAGGAAGTATATTTTATCTGTCCAGCTTGAAGCTACACATTTAACAGGAAACACCATAACATGAAAAGGTTTATAAACTGTAGAGTGAAACCTTTACTCCCAGAAAACTAGGGTTAGGGAATTTAAAGGCAGAAGTTATACATAACCTAAAAATCATGATTAGCTGACTGTAGCCACCAAAAGAATGGGAATATATGTTTTCAGATCACTCATCTAACGGAGAAGGATCTAGTGTCCAACAACTCAATTCAAAAATGGGCAAAGAACGTGAATAGACATTTATCCAAAAAGGATACACAAGGGGCGCCTGGGGGGGTTCAGTCAGTTAAGCGTCCAACTCAATTTTGGCTCAGGTCATGATCTCATGGTTTGTAGTTTCACGCCCCACTTTGGGCTCTGCATTGACAGTTCAGGGCCTGCCTAAGATTCACTCTCTCCCTCTGCCCCTCCCCCCCACTCATGCTTCTCCCTCAAAATAGATAAACTTTAAAATATATATAATATTTATAATGTTATATTAATTATAATATTAATATAATATTTATATTATATCTATATCTATAACATTTAAGGGGCACCTGGGTGGCTTAGGCGGTTAGGCATCCGACTCTTGGTTTCAACTTAGGTCATGATCTCAGATTTTGTGAGTTTCAGCCCCACAGTGGGCTCTGGGCTATCAGTGCAGAACCTGCTTCAGATCCTCTGTTCCCCTCTCTCTCTGCCCCTCCCCTGCTTGTGCTCACTTGCTCTCTCTCTCTCTCTCTCTCAAAAATAAACATTTAAAATAAATAAATTTTTATTCTTTTTATTAAAAAAATTTTTTTTAATGTTTATTCATTTTTGAGAGAAACAGAGACAGAGACAGAGCGTGAACAGGGGAGGAGCAGAGAGAGAGGGAGGCACAGAATCCAAAGCAGGCTCTAACTTCTGCTCAGGTCAGGATCTGACAGTTCTTGAGTTTGAGCCCTATATCGGGCTCTTTGCTGGCAGCCCAGAGTCTGGAGCCTGCTTTAGACTCTCTCTCTCTCTGCCCTTCCTTCACTCATTCTCTCTCTCTCTCTTTCTCTCTCTCAAAAATAAACACTAAAACAAATAAAACAAAATGGTAAATTTTAAGTTATGTACATTTTTAAAAAAATTTTTTTTAGCTTGAAGGGCACCTGGGTGGCTCAGTCAGTTAAGCATCCGACTTCGGCTCAGGTCATGATCTCACAGTTCGTGGGTTTGAGACCCGCGTCGGGCTCTGTGCTGACAGCTAGCTCAGAGCTGGAGTCTGTTTCAGATTCTGTATCTCCCTCTCTCTCTGACCTTTCCCTGTTCATGCTCTCTCTCTCTCCCTCAGAAATAAATAAAACATTTAAAAACTTTTTTTAAATTTTTTTAGCTTGACTATAGATATTAAAACATATTGGGTGGCTTACCAGCTAACTTTTACCATGTAGTCAACGTACCGTTTTAGTCGTTCAACCACCCCATGAGAGTGTTAACCACCCTACAGTGCAAACATATAGAAAGAGACGCTTAGATTTAGCCCAAGCTGGCACACATGAACCAGGACTCGACCCCAGGTACTCAGATTCTAGAATCCACAATCTGCTACTCCAAGAATATCTTTACAAACCAAACTGTTTCCAAATTTGTAATAGAGATTTTGTTCAAAATCTAGATTACACTGCGGGTCCCAAATAAAATACAGCAACTGATAAAAATGTTTAATACTCACACATCATCTTCTGACCCAAAGCTAAGTAATAAATTTTGGTTTTATTAGGTTAAGACTGTTATTTCAAAATGTGGATTAAATCACCACTTGGCAACCATCAGTAATCATTTATTCAGGCAGAGAATAATTAATGGATGCCAAAAGTGTGAGTGGAAGTTTGCAGAGTCTCAAATCATGTCCCCATAAGATGTGTAAAGGGGAAAAATGTTAACTTTGCCATGAAGAAGGCTGGCAGACTCTACCTTACCAGCCAACTCCAAACTGAGGTTCATTCTACAAAATCATTGGCCTGTGCTCTTCAAAAACATCAAGATCAAGGGGCGCCTGGGTGGCTTAGTCGGTTAAGCGTCCGACTTTCACTTAGGTCATGATCTCGCGGTTCGGGGGTTCGAGCCCCGCGTCGGGCTCTGTGCTGACAGCCAGCTCAGAGCCTGGAGCTTGTTTCAGTCTGTGACTCCCTCTCTCTCTGACCCTCCCCTGCTCATGCTATCTCTCTCTCTCCTAGGAATAAATAAAACATTAAAAAAAAAATTAAAAAAAAAACAAAAAAAAAACATCAAGATCAAGAGAACAAAGACTGAGAACTGTTCTGGATTAAAGAAAACTAAGCAGACCTGAAAACTGAATACAACCCCTGATCGGAGATTTTCCTTTTGCTATAGGACAACAAATGACATCTGGATCAGGGCTGTAGATTAGAAAACGGTGTTGTATCCATGTTAATTTCCCATTCTTGATAATGATACTATTGATATGTAAGAGAACGTCCTGTATTTCAGGAAAGACACACAAAGTATTTAGGTATAAAGAGGCATCACATGTCTGCAACTTTCTGTCAGACAGTTCAGGGAAAAATAGTGTGTGTGGAGAGAAAGAGAAGAAATAAAGCAAATGCGGTCATATGTTAGCACTCGAGAAATCTGGTAAAAGAAAATTCCTTGTACTACTGCTGCAACTTTTAAGCCTACAATTATGCCAAAATAAAGTTAAAGGAAGAAAACAATAGCCATAGTCTAGTACTCAGCTTATGTGTCTTACAGGCCCTCGTGGCAAAGACCGAATAATGACTAAGTTCATCTTGTGTTCCGCTCAGTACCTAACGCAGCAAGCACTCAATAAATGTTGAATTAACTAGATCTATAACACAGAAATTAAATGCATGTGGGAAAATGTATCCTGAGAACACTTAAGAACTATTTTTACAAAAGGTTTCAAGTGAAAGGGACGAAGGGGAGTTGGATTAATTCAAAATGTACCTTTCCCTCTCTCCAGGGCAACAGGTAAAGGGTGGTAGTTGTGTGCACCATATTTAGATTCTCGCTCAAAAATGTAATCAGAAGATGGAGGGCCTTGGATTGTCTTTTTGGTCGCAACAGACGTAGCAGAAGCCACTGAAGAATGAACTCCACGACGAAGCACAGCAATGGTCTGCAAGTGAGCTAGTTTGGAAAACATCGTGCCTTTAAGGGAGGAACACCACCTACCTGTCCAAGGAGAAGAGAAGGCAGTGAGAATAAGAATCTTCCCAGAGGCCAAGTGTATGGGCTCATCACCCACAGTCACCAAAGCATAGGATGAGACAGGGACAACCTGGGTGGCTCAGGAGGTTGAGCGTCCAACTCCTGGTTTCAGCACAGGTCATGATCTCATGGTTCATGGGTTTGAGCCCTTTGTCGGGGTCCCTGCTGTCAGCACTGAGCCGCTTCAGATCCTCTGGCCCCTCTCTCTATGCCCCTTCCCTGCTCGCATGTTTTCTCTCAAAACTAGACATTTGTTTAGAAATTACAATTGGGGCGCCTGGGTGGCTCAGTCAGTGAAGCATCTGACTTTCACTCAGGTCATGATCTCGCAGTTTGTGGGTTTGAGCCCCATGTCGGACTCTGTGTTGACAGCTCAGAGCCTGGAGCCTGCTTCAGATTCTGTATCTCCCTCTCTCTCTGACCCTCCCCTGCTCAC